ACTATGTACACTAAACACAACAACAATAAAAAACTATATTAGGCTATTTACAATTTTATTGTAATGAACTGTAATGTGCAACAACATTGAATATTTTGCTATGCCAAAAAGACGTCTTTATACTACAATGTTATTAAAATCACTTAATAATTTTTTTTAATCTGTTCATTCACATTAACCGAATATGCGCTACTGTTGAAAAGTTTGGGGTGGGGTCAATAAGATTTTTAATACTATTTATTTAAAAAGGACACATTATATTAGACATTGTTAAATAAATAAATGCTTTTCTATTTTTAAGTGGGAGAACTTGCACAATTGGTGGCTGACTAAATACTTTTTTGCCCCACTGTATCTGCTTGTCTAAGAATCCTGAAATTTAACACGTTTCCAGAATTATATTGAAAATACGAACTATTTTCAACGTTAATAATAAGAAATATTTTTTAAGCACTCAAAATGTTCCAAAAACATTTTTCAAAATCTTACCAAACCCAAACTTTTGAATAGAAAGTGTACCAAATTGAACTTTTCAACACTAAAAAGAAAATAGAAAGGAAGATTGTTTAGAAGAGTGCACACTAAGAAAAGTCTGTTTTTGTTTGTTTTTTAACAGTACAAGTTTGATTATTGTCAAACTGTGTGACAATAAAAAAGCAATAGAAGTGTGTCACATTAGCTTGTGTTAATTTTGTGTAATACTTTTAGCAGTACCTCCAAAAATGAGAAAATAAAGTGCTTAATATTACTTCCGGCTTATTTGTCATCTGGTGCATTTGTCAAATTTTGGAAAATACATGCATACAGAAAATGTATCTACTGCCCAGTGCCCCCAGTATGCATCCCGCTATAGAAAGAATAGTGTGAAGTTTGTTATTTAGAACATAGCCATCATTTCTGTCTCATTCTCTTGTTCCATTTCATTCTTTCTCTCTCCGAGTAACACTAACCTCATCTGGAAAAACAGGCTGACTCTCACAAATCCAAAGCTGCACAATTAATCAGGTGCTGGGCCGTGAGCAGCGCTGGGCTTGCTCAAAACGGACCATGAAGAGAAACTTTGAAAGGCACAATTTCATAAGTTTTGTTTTCTCTTTTTTTCTCCATTTGTATCTGTTGAACATCATTTCACTGGATCAGTGTGAGACTGTGGACCAGACAGCCACCAGAAGAGATTTATTCTCGTTCCCAGAGATAATTCATTTTTAAATTCAGGAGTGCAGCCTCAGCTATTTAACACATATCACACACACATGCACACACACACACACACACACACTAGACTCCTCCACAGCATTTGGGAAAAAAAATGTTTTGCTGTTGAGGGAGACAAACTGTAAGGATCTGACCTGAGGTTGGTGTCTGGAGTGAGAAGATTCAGACATTTTCCCACCCTGGACAGACAATCCGTGGCTTGTGCTGCCCAACTGCACTAACAAGGGGGAATGAAAACAAACATGTTTAGAAAGTACACAGAACAAGAGCAATATTGAGGGGGGGAAGAAGGGAGGAAATCCCAAAGGGGGTCAACCTCAGATCCACTGACTTCAAAAACAGTGTAAAGGCCTGTTCATAAAATGTCTGATGTGATTAAATGACATGGAAGCATGTGTTCACAAAGATTTTTTCATGTCAAAATAAACATCAAGCCCAATGCCAAATAATTCTAATTTTATTACTATATCTTATTGGTCAGAGTTTTTACTGGAAAAAAATCAAACTAGTGCTCAAATCTCAAAAGGACAAACCAGACTGGGGCTTCCCAACTTACAGGGAACGTTCACAGAACGTTTTTTTCTGAAAAGTTTTAGTTGAACGTTTTTAAAACTTTACTAACCACTGCACTAGTTTTAGAGCATTCAGAGAAAATTCAAAAGTAAAATTACGATCGTGTTCATAAAATAGGACATTTCCTTAATGTTTTCTGTAACGCTTGCATAACCAAGACAAAAAACTGGACATTTAAATGTTCTGACAACATTCAGATATAACTTTTTCATAACTTAATGGGGATGTTGAAAAAGCATTCTCAGAATACATTTTTGTAAGCTAGGATCATAGCGATGCATTGTTTCTTATTAAAACTGTGCATGTTTTCATGCCATCAATTTGGACTTGGCCTTTTCTGTGATCCTTTATGGGTCAAAACAGTTACAGTATCTTGGGCCATATGACCAAATACAAAAGATACAACTTTTTATCTGCAAAAATTCTTCAAAAACTATGTAAATAAATTATATTTTACTCTGAAGATGACTATGATGGGTGATCTGACAACAGAACCAGCTGACATCTATATCAGTGTGTGTGTGTGTGTGTGTGTGTGTGTGTGTGTGTGTAAGTGCTCAAATCTCAAAAGGACAAACCAGACTGGGGCTTCCCAACTTACAGGGAACGTTCACAGAACGTTTTTTTCTGAAAAGTTTTAGTTGAACGTTTTTAAAACTTTACTAACCACTGCACTAGTTTTAGAGCATTCAGAGAAAATTCAAAAGTAAAATTACGATCGTGTTCATAAAATAGGACATTTCCTTAATGTTTTCTGTAACGCTTGCATAACCAAGACAAAAAACTGGACATTTAAATGTTCTGACAACATTCAGATATAACTTTTTCATAACTTAATGGGGATGTTGAAAAAGCATTCTCAGAATACATTTTTGTAAGCTAGGATCATAGCGATGCATTGTTTCTTATTAAAACTGTGCATGTTTTCATGCCATCAATTTGGACTTGGCCTTTTCTGTGATCCTTTATGGGTCAAAACAGTTACAGTATCTTGGGCCATATGACCAAATACAAAAGATACAACTTTTTATCTGCAAAAATTCTTCAAAAACTATGTAAATAAATTATATTTTACTCTGAAGATGACTATGATGGGTGATCTGACAACAGAACCAGCTGACATCTATATCAGTGTGTGTGTGTGTGTGTGTGTGTGTGTGTGTGTGTGTGTATATAAAATCCTACAATATATCAGTGTACAACTTGTGCAATGTAATTTACTCTCAACTGTGCAATGTTATCATTTGCATTACTATAACAAATGATTTTATTGAACAAGTTTTTTTAAGGGAACGTAACCCTTGTGGGATGCGTATATAAACTAACGCTCTATGGTGAGAAAATATCTTACTGGGATTACAGTTCATACCTGCAAATATCATTCATTTTGAGTCCACCCCCGGATATTGTGACATATGAAATTGAGGTGGGAAAAAATAGAATGCACAGTTCGATATAGATCAGCAGGAGAGAAAACTGGCCAGACCCTGCCTGTAACCACATTAACTGCAGCAAACTTGGATGGAAATCAAGAAAGGCAAGAGTGGGCACCCCCTCACTCCCCACCTTTTCCCACATTCTGTTGTTTTAGGCAAGGGAAAGATTTCACACAATGAAACTCCTCTCAAAACAATCAGCATGCCAGACAATATCCCAAAGTGTACACTCCTCTGGAAGGAAAATAAATGAAAGCTCTTGTTTGGGTTAAGTCTTCAAAGAAAATAAAGTTGAAATCCATCGGAACAGACGGTCACTGTAGGGTTTGCACGATTGGATAAGGATCGTTTTTGGAGTGTTGCCATTCAGTGCATTTGTAATTTAAAATCCACTGAAACGGAGGATGAAATCCGACCTTTAACTTCAGACAGACTTAAGTCTCGACAAAAGAGAGGGAACTTTGCAACTTTGCAATAGTGGTAAAGCGGATCACGAACAAGCCACATCAAAGAGATTCATTCAGAATGGAAATAAATAGGTATAAACTACAATTTCCATAGCTACAACTTTGCGATACCATTGGACATAACTTACGATATTGAGATTTCCTTACCAGGCCAGTGGAAAATCAGAGAGCACGCTTTTTGAGCGAGCGAGAGGTCACATGCAGGAGGCAGAATTTAGCGGCCGTTCTCATGTGGTCTTTTCTATAATGTTTTTTTTTAAATGTCATGTACTGAAGAAAGTTACAAGCAGTCTGGAATTTCCAGCAGCTGTTTTTCCCTAGTGACTCAAGTTGTGGCAATCGATAGCCCACAAAACTGGGCATTTGTAAATACACTCATAACCACAAAGCTGGGCCAGAGCTAAAACTGCCATATCATAGTCAATTAAACAATTTGAACAATCTGAACAAGAGCAACAGTGTTTCCAACTCAACATACTGTACATTCAGAGCACATGAAGATCTTTTTCAGAATAACAGGACTGTCTGTTTAAAATGGATGGAATTCTGGTTTAGATTCTGCTTACACAAAACGATTCTTTAATGATACTATTAATGATTATTTTAGTACTTTTGAAGGAAGAATAAACTGTCTATATACAGAACAAAAGTACAATTCAAAAACAATATTTTTGTTTGCATATCTTAATATTCTTTTAAAATTAAAAAATAATAATAAAGCATTAATACATGTAGTCATGTGGAAAATCGGTTCATATTACATTAATTTAAGTCTCACAATTATTACTATTGTTAACTATAACTGAAAATATATTAAACATACTATTAAAGCTGAGATCAAATTAGATTAGCTAAAAACCTTAATAAATGATATAATGTTAAGTACTAAAATTGCTAAAACTGACAAAATAAAGCTATAGTAAATAGAAAAAGTAAAAACAAAAGCAAATAACAAAATTGATCAGATAATAACTTGTGATTCAGTAAAGAACCAGGCTGATTTTCAGTGTTCAAGTGACTCATTAGATTGATTCAAATAAGTTAGTCTTTTTGACCAATTTTATTAAAAGAATCGGCTTGTTCTCAAAGCAGACTGTACTGCAGATAGATATTTAGTGTTCCATCTGCATTGCTAGAGAAACCTGCATTGGTTTGAGAAGCGTTACTCAAGTTGAGCATCATGAATGGAACTGGTTTTAAATAAGAACCAGATCCCAGCTCCAAAACCTAACACTATTAAAACAAATCCATCACAAGATCTTTAACAACGTCTCTACTAAATCTGTATGGGGTTAACCGACCTGTGAGGATGTCGAACATGCAGAGGTGGGTGGAGCACAAGGTAAGCAGCAGTGGAGCATCATGGGAAGATAGTGATGGAGCTGTGCCGTATTGCCTGCAGGGCAGTAGAAGGTCTCTGACCGCGATGGACCGCACTAGCAGGAGGCCCAATCTGTCTCACAGGCTTCAGCGCTGGTATGCATCTCATTAGGAGAACAGCTTGGCATCTGCAGGCGAGGAGGAAGTTTACTGTTGTTGGATGATGAATAATCTTTCAGGCTGTATGTCCTGTGGGCTCACCACCACTCCTACTGTAACATATCAAGGCACAAAGTGACAGAAAAGTAAATAGAGATTTAAACCAATTAGCCAACAGGAGGATTATGCATAGGCATTAAAGGGTTAGTTCACTCAAAAATGAAAATTACCCCATAAATTACTCACCCTCAAGTCATCCTAGGCGTATATGACTTTCTTCTTTCAGACGAATCCAGTCGGAGTTATATAAAAAATGGTCTTTGATCTTTCAAGCTGTTTAATGCCACTCAGCGGCTGTTGCATGCATCAGTCCAAAAGAAGTTAAATAAAAAGCGACCATCCATAAAAAATGTTTCACACGGCTCCGGGGGGTGAACAAAGGCCTCCTGTAGCAAACTGATGTGTTTTTGTTAAAAAAATATCCATATTCAAAACATAATAATCACTTTAATGTAGCTTGCGCCAACAGTTGTACACGGAAGCAGCTCCGGGCTGATGACGTATGAGTTCAGCTTTGCGCATGTGCCGCTCAGAAGTGACGAACGTGGACGCGAAGGGGAGAGAACAAAACAAAACAACGGTCACTTATTAAAAGTACAAAATGAGGATTTGTAAAGAAGAATGTTGGAGGATTTCAATATAAGCCAAGAGGAAACTGGTTTTCCTTTGCTAAAGTAAGGAAACTTTGCTTCCTTTGCTCCTGTTAACAAACGTTTGTTTTCACGAGACTCACCGGAGCATGCGCAACGCTGAACTCATACGTCATCAGCCCGGAATTGCTTCCGTGTACAACTGTTGGCGCAAACTACATTAAAGTGATTATGACATTTTGAATATGGATATTTTTCTTACAAAAATGCATCGATTCGCTACAGGAGGCCCTAGGTTCTAATGATGCGGTCTTTAGGAAATTAAATGCCAACTAGCACGCAAAGTGTTTTGTAATTAGGTTGAGGCCTGCAATTTAATTGATGAATAAAATCTAAAATGTAAGAGATTTTTGGACACTGAATTAAAAAATACTAAAAATTTCACCAAGCTCACCAAGGCTGCATTTATTTTATCAAAAATGCAATAAAACTGTGATAATATAGTCATAATTTTTTTCCAATTTAAAATAACTTTTTTTATTTCAATAATATATTTTAAAATGCAATTGATTCCTTTGACATGCATCAAATCTGAATTTTCAGCATCATTACTCCAGCCTTCAGTCACATGATCCTTCAGAAATATTTCAATTATACTGAAAAAGCTGTGCTGCTCATTATTTTTGTGTAAACAATTATTTTTGTCATTATTCAAAAACCAGCCTGCACACTTTGATTTCAATCAGACCATGTTGTTAACATGATAATAACATTTTATGAAAAAAAATTTTATCCACTATATTTTATTACCAAGTGCTTTGCATTATGAATTGAACTCTCTGTGAATGATGCGATGCTGCTTTCTTTGGTATCTTAGGAGACAGCAAAATTAAGTTACCTACTTTTGGGGACAGCTTGTATCAGGAACACATTTATGATGCCTTAAAATACTCCCTCCGTGGGGAGCTCACTAGCTTTTGGAACAGAGCAATTGTCTGAGCCTGTTTTGCATTTTTATTAAATGTGTGAATTGTTCCTTTGAATAACAGGTGAATTATGCCCAAAGTTCAAAGCCTTGGCCTCTACCCAACCTCCAAAACCCCTTCAGTGTGGATTCCAGCTCCAGGTTTAGTCTGTGAGAAGGGCCCTATCCGATCCCTCTGTACTCCACCACTAAAACCACAGGAACGAACCTGGGAAAGGAAATGAGCATAGTGAGCGCTGAAGTTTAATAAAAAATGAATGAATGAATGGGGTGTCCCAGGGACAGAATGAGAGAGAGCACAAGAGAAACAGGCATTTTCTGAGAGAAAAATAACTTTTAGAAATTGTACCTATTACGGTGGGGTTCTGTACATCGATAAAGCAGGTAAAGTGAAACCAGCTGCTGCTTTGGCTTCACGCAGGACCTTCTGGATGCTTTGAAACAATAATCTTCTTTCATTCATTGATCAGCTTCAAAACGGACAAACACCCATCCTGAGATAGGCACGTAGATCTCTTCCTCCGACACAATGGGTCTGGATGTGGAGACAAACATTCCATGCATGCCAAATGTCCAGGCTACAGGCAAATCATTAAACTCGAGAGAAAAAAGAGACTCCAGGACCTCCTTTCTTCTCTGTGTCTTCCCCTTGTTGCTATTAGCCTGTTAATTGATCCAAAACATTTGGGAGGGTGATCTGTGAGCATTAAACCAAGTTGGGAACACTACATCGTCCAAAAACGCATAATAGAGCTATAAATTAGACAGATTAGCATCAAGCAGTGCCACCTGTTTACAGACTCATAGTTACTCATACCAACTCTTTAGAAACACAAAGTATAGGGAAACACATAAATAACAGTCGTGACAGTGAGAAAATAAGAGCTGTTATCTTTAACAAACAACTGAACGATATTAGAAAAGCTAGCTACTACAAGCTAATATAAACTATAATCAAGCTACTCTTAAAAGTAGATAGCTACACTACAAGTTAATTGCATATTGAAGCATACATATACAATAGTACATAAAAGTACATTGAAGCTATTTATAGGGAAAGTGTGTAAATCAGAATAGAGTTTATTTTCACAATTATCAGAGTATTTTTCTCAAAAAAGGCTATTCAATTTAGCATGGTAGCATTAACTTATAATGCTTATAATGAATAAATCATTAATGCTAAACACAACTAAAAGACTATAAACACTAAACCTAGCTAAAACAATAACTAAAACGTGGTGGAAAGCATATTGAAGAACAGCATTTTAGAAAATATTTTGCAATAAAACAGAAGTAAAATGCCACAGTGATTCAAATAATTCAGATAATTAATAAAGTGATTCACTAAAATGAATCAGATTTCCCAATGAGACAGCATGTTTGCTTGGCTAATTGTGACAATTTAGCATGTGTCACGCTACACTGCTACTTAAAAGGCATTGGACAAGTTAACTGTTTTGAAAACAGCAAAGCTGCTGCTGCAGTCACATTAGCAACATTTCGGCTGAATTTTGCTTCCAAAAACATCCACTGTCAATATTGTAGCATTGTGTGACTTCTTAAGCAGAAGTCCCTTTTTTTTAAACCAAGCAGTTTTCTGTTGGTCAGCGTGGCAAATTCAAGTGACCAGCTTAAACCTGTTGCCAATTGTGCATGAAGGAATCTTTCACTCTAACTCAAAATTCCCAGTTGTGTATATATCCATATGATGACTGGATTTCCCCCGCAAAAATTTGACTGCACCTTAAAAGTTAGTCAAAGAGTTCGTTCACACAAAAATGATTGTCATCTTTTACTCATCCTCACTGAAGTCTGTTCAGCATATAAGTGATTGTACATTTTCATAAGAATTAGATTTAATCGCTTGATTCATATCGATGATATGATGCCTTTACAAAATTTTGGTTACTGGAGGGACAGAAACCGCTCAGGTTTTACTGAAAAATTTGTGTTTTGAAGATTAACCAACGCCTCATGGGTTAGAAATGACATGAGGGTGAGTAAATGATGACAGAATTTGATTTAGGGGTGATCTATCTCTTTCAATATGTAGCATTGCTTCTTTCAGTTAGTCACACTGCAACTAAATGTCTGTTAGCATATTCTCGTTGTGTTCTCGATGCAGTGGTGCCAAAGAAATAGAAACCCCAACAACCTGAGCAGCGGGAGTCTTGAACGAGAAGATTCACTACATTCAGCAGAGTAGATATCACCCCTGAGCCCTCTTCAACCTCAGGGCATGGGGGTTTCGCCTCTGACATCTAAGCACTTGAAGTGTGAGGACAAGCTACCTATTTAGAGGCAGGTGATCTAGAGAACAAAGGGAGGATCCAGGGCCCCGCTGACACGCTGGGAGAGAAATGACTGGTTATTAGCTCCCGATGGGACTTGGCAGACTATTTAAAGTCTGTTTCCTTTGATTGTGACAGTGTAATTGTTTGGGCAGATACCATCAACTCACCAAGTTACCTTTAGGCAAGGGAAACTGGACTTTCATTAAAGCGTGGGACAGGAGAGCTGGTTTTCTCTGCCTGTGGTTTCTAATGGGATGTGGATGAGTGAGCTTCTTACGCCAGTAGTGTGAATTGGTTTCTTTAATGATTAATAGGGGCTGTGTTAACACGAAGGCAACTAGTAGGGACTCCTGTTGAAAGTGCGGTGTGACTGATTAGGCTGTCGCTTTATTATTCAAAGCAAAGATGATCTGCTGACGGTTCAGTGGTCTGAAAATGATGAACTTCAAAACAAGACCACAAACTAAATGCTTAAAGTAACACTGACTTGCAGACACATGCATGTCCTTAACTAGACAGAGCTGGATTATCTATAACAATATCCAGGAAATTAACCGTATCAAAACAGTGAATTAAGAGCCAGGAACAGCGGAAAGACTCTATTAGTACTCCACTTTCTGAAGCAAATCTTCAATGATCTCAGTCCCGCTAATAGCACAGTCGACATCAAACACAACTTCAGAACGTGTGTAACAAGCCCAAACAAGAAATCCAAAATTAAGGTCTTCACAGAAGCAGAATCGCAATCTCTGATCCCAGAGCGCAACAAAAAGAAACGGAAAATGTCGAACCCCTGGTTCCCCCCTGTTTTCGGTCAGACAGTTCATGTCTTTTAAGAGGCAGATTGTAGAAGAAATAAATAGAGCCGTGGATAAGAGCACATTTCACTTGACCTCTGTGCTCTGAGCTCGGCTGCGTATACTCTCACCCTCCCCACCATCTCGGTCGTGGCAGAAAAGCAACAAGAGTGTTTGTTTTTGATTGTGGGGGTTGAGATGACACAGTTTGTTGGGCACTCTATTGGCCATGTCGCTAGGGTCCATTGACCATGGCTGGCTCTCGAAGGCCTTCCGTGATTACACAATAAACTATACTATACGGGACATGACATCTCCACCATTCGAAACACTCAGGTGCCATTGGCCGAAAGACTGCGCTTTACGGAGAGCCCCAGGACGGCCCAGTCTGATACAAACCAGAGATGGAAATGTAACCAA